ATTACACATTAACTATAGCACTTAGGTGTTCACATTTATTTATTATTAATCAACACCAATTATTAATTACATTTTTTATTCATCTATATTTGTATTTATCAATATTTGCACCTATTAGGTTTGTGCACGGATGCACGTTTGAGAGGGAGGATTATTACAATATAACATTTATATCTTTTTAGTTTTCAGTAGGTGGAGCGCAACACATATTTATTAATTATTTGTCTAATCTACACAGTTTTATGTGTATTAGTGTTAATGCACCACCACATTCATAGTAGTTAGTCACTTATATTGTTTTATAATACCACTTTAGTAGCTCACAAGTATTCACTTCATATTATAGATTAGCCCAGCTAATCAAAAAGCGTACCCACAACACAAAAGAAACAACAATAGACTTCCTCCATAAAACAGCACCTTATTGAGAAGGAATGTGTGCCAAAGCTCACCTCAAGTTGTTCAATATATAAAGACAAAACAGACCGACATCTCCAAAATAGTTGTCTGCTAAGGACTACTCCTATTTACCTCCTGTCTCGCCAGATGTGCCCATACGCTGTGTGCTGACCTACACACAATTGTCATTGCACTTTCCACATTACGTGGCTGTGTTGTGAAGTGGCTCACAGTGGTAAATTGAATTTTGGAGACTGCAACCAAGAAATATTAATGCAAGCACATTTCTTTTCATGCAAAAACGTGTGATTTTAAGAATGATGTTTCCATAACAGCTTGGTAATTTTATACATTGTTGTTTATGACCAGCACCTTAAAAATGCCAGCTCCATGAGCAAACCTTTTTTCTTGTGCTCAATGTAGTACAGGCCTACAAAGCCCAACATCAGGAGGTAAAATGTCAGTCAGAATGAGTAGGTGTTGTCCACATGATCCTGAAGCAAAAGGTGCTCCTCTTCCAAGAAGCTGTCTGGTCCTTGCCCATCGGGGCCCACAAGAAACTACAGGGTGCCATGGCCATGGTAGAGCTTGACAGAAATGTTGGGGGAATGGCCGATAGTTTGAACCCTGTCCAAAGTCCACTGGGCCTGGGTGCTGATCCAGTTCATTGAACTTGGAGATAGCCCTTGTCCAGCTGCCAAGCCACAGGATACTTGCAGATTTCTAGGTTGTACCCAAACACTGTATCATGGGGTTCAAGCTATCTGTGCCCCACTGCAAGCTGCCATGACCCCTTTGGAAGTTCGCCAGTATCAGCAATGCTGGACCAACTAGCCATCCCCTTCCAAGATTAATCATTGCCCCAAAAACACCTCCCCCACACTGCTGGAGAAACACTTGTTAGTATCCTGAGGATTCTGGGTGTACTAAGGCCTATGGCCACCCCATCCACAGGCGTGGTACCCCTTCCATTCGGGAGAGATACCTGCACATACCCCTGGCTCTATGTCAAGAAGTCAAAGACTTAATCAGCATTATGTTGCAGAGTGGAATACTTAAGGAAAGCTATGGTCCCATTGGGAGACCATTCCATACCAGGTAGCCAAGACAGCCATTCCCACCATTCCTGGATAATGACCTGGTATCTGAGGGCACTGAAACCAACAGGAAATAGCTCCATGGGAATCTGTTGAGGTCATGTGTATTGGGTGGAGACTGTCCTTTTAAGCCCACTACAGACTCACACGATTCTAGTCCTGCAGATGTTCTCCCATTCTAGAGGTTCCAATTCAGTGGTATTTGACATTCTTTGAGGTAATCCCCACTGACTCCCCCCAGATTTGAAGACAAAACTGCTGCTGCTTCTTCAGAAGATCACTGAGAGGACTGGGAGAGTACTAGAAGTTCTGAGGAACTCATGGACTCCAGTGAGGATACAAATGATAGCCCAAATAAGAGTGTTATGCCTACCCATTATAAACCCCAAACACCTGAGGCTCCTGAGCAAGTTCCAGTAAAGGATCATTCTGAAGATGAGCTGGAAGGTTTCAATGAGGGTCGCTGCCCCATTCATTTGGTCTTACCAGGGGCAGTTGCAGACCAAATACTCTGATTATGTTGTGTAATGTACTGCTTGTCATTACTGTGTTCTTCAAGCTGTTATCTGTGCCTTGTTGAATTTTACTATTTTCTTGTTATATGGTATTGATGTCGAAGACAGCACCTCTCAAAAGATGGGGGGAGTGGGCGGGTGCAGGCTGATCTCCTTATTACACAGGTGGCCCTGTTGCACCTCCCTGCAGGAAGAGTGGAGGATAGGAGGAATGCCCATTCCTCTTAGGACTCCATACGTATCATTGGGTAGACTGCTGTCTAATTGGACGCTGCCACCCAGGTGACCCTTGCAGCCATCTTTACTGAGAGCAGTGCTTATAAAAAGCAGTGTCCCCTTGCGGTTGGTGCACATACAGCATGTGATTAGGCTAGGGATAAGAACCCTCAGGCAAAGTGTACCTAGATAGGAGAGGTTCAAGAGGAGGAGGAGCAATATATGGACTGTCGTCAGTGCTTCTCAGAGGAACCTTTCTGCTGCAGGTGTTGCAACATTCTGTGAGTGTTGCTACCAATTCTAAGAAACTGCATAGACTTTGTCACAGTATGTTGGAATGTTTTCAAGTTCAGCAATTTCAACCACTGTGCGTGCGCCATGCCTTCCCTCAGTGGTGCCTACCACCCGGGTCACTACAGCCTACACATTCTACATGATCTTTAGTTAAATATCAAACAGATACAACTGGGCAGATCTGCCTGAACAATGTCACGATGTCTCCCAAAGAGCCAAAAACAATGTGATGAGCTGCAGGTCCTTTGACTAGGGCCCAGAACTCTTGATGTCTTTTTTGGTCAGTCCTTTTGTAAGAGCAGAGCCTATTAGACCTGCTTTAAGTTTCGTAATGTATATTTCCTCTTTTCAGAAAATAGCTTGTTTTAATATTTATTGTACAAAGCCTATAAACACTTCATACTTAACTCTCCAATGGGTGGTAAACGAGAACTTCCCTTTTTTTTTGGAGGTGGTGGCGAAATCTTCAGTATCCAACAAAGGAAGTGTCATATAGTGAAGATTCTGCCAAAATGAGAATTTGTATCATGCTACCTTTGAACACAATATAGCATGGAATCAACACAACTACCCAAAATACAAGAACACATCACTTGTGTAAAATAAAGTGTCACCACTTCCACTACCTGCGCCACCGATCTGCGCTGTATTCATCACTTCCAGGAGTGCCAATTTCCTGATCCCCTATTGTGTGCTGTGTTAAACTCCCACCAGCCCCTATGTCCCTACAGGACACAGTGATGAAGTGTAGGCAGGCAGATCAAACCAATCAATGCAGCAGGGTACCAGAAATCTGAAAAGCACTCTATGATTGGAGGAAGCAGACCTTTCACTTACTCACCTGTCCTTCATTCACAAAGCCATTTTCATTGTGGAAACTGACAGCCAGTGTGGTAGACCTATGTTGGGTTCTCCAATGTACTGAATAAACGTTATTGCCCCATATGATGGACCCCAGTAGGATTCTTGCCTTTGATGTGTTTTGTCCAACCAATGGGCTAGCCAATTGGTTGGGCAAACTGCATAAACAGTTACGGATTTAAGGAGGGTCTATGTAAAGAACAATAACGTTTGTTTGAAATTATGTAGAACCTGATGTGCAGCTTTATATTTCAGGATCTTGATGTGAGAATGGTCTACCTCCGAAGCAGCCATTGCATCTGGGAAATGGAGGTGTAATCTGGCTGTGAGTTAAATTGATATTAATGGATATTTTTTTTGCCTTAAAATATAAAAGATGTTATACTTACCAGATCTGTAGAATATCCCTTACCTCCTCTTTGGCTGTTCCTCGACAGTGCTGTCCACTTCTTTTTCTTCTGAGTGCCCCCTCAGTAAGCCAGGTGCTAAGGGGGCACCTATGCGGCCATGCTTCCAAGCCAGGCTGAGTGCGTCCATAGACCCACACAGCACCAAGCCATGCCCCAGGCTCTGTCCTCATGCGTTTGTGAGACCAGGAACAGGGGTGATGAAGCTGGGACAGTGCTGGATCAGTGAGAGCAGTCAGGTAAATGTTTAGAATTGGGGGACAATTAGAGGGGCTTTTTTTTACCTTAATGCAGGGAATACAGTAAGGTAAAAAACGTTTTGAGTGTAGAACCGCTTTTGAGTTGCCATTGTCTTATTCCACACTGCGTCTCTGTGAGGAGGCTGAACTTCTGCAGGGAATACACTGCTACTTTTCAGGAGGAACTCAACAGTGAAAGGATTCTCATTGTACAACTACTTCTTTCAGCCTGGGTTCACACTGATGTAGTGTGGAATTTGCAGTGGTTTCTGTGCAATTTACGCACCACATCATAATCGCACTCCATTCATATGAACCACTGCGGGTGCGTATTTTAAGTTAACAACCCCCTGAAATCAGTTCACAAAACTGGTGTGATGTGCAGAATCGGATCGCATAGGTGTGAACACCCATGTAATCCGATTCTGGTGCGGACTTAAAAAGGGTCCTGCACTTTTTTGATGCGGTGCGATTTCAGCCATACAAAATGTATGGTTCATATTGCACCGCACAGAAATCGCATGTGTTTTGCACAGGAATGTGCTGCGGTTCCTGTTTGAATCACATGCAATGTGCCGTACCGCATCAGTGTGAACCTGGGCTTAAAGTGCAGGTGAAAGGCGGGAAAATTAGACTGGCAACACTTGCGCTTAAGGCGCATGTGGCGCTTTGCAGATCCCTGTGGTGGGAGCATTACGTTGCAAAGTCGCTGTAATGATGGACATCTCTAGCAATCTCACATAACACATCCCCAGTCTCTGTCTTCAGCAGCTTTTCAATCACAAGAGTAGAATGGCTGCAAACTCTGACAGTCCTCTATTGGATATTATATTGTGAATATGGTGTACTACTCTGTGCTCCCTGCACCTCACGAACTACTACACACTGCTCTATAGTCTCTGCTTCCACACAGACTACACTTCCCACAATGCATCTGTGCGGGCTGTAGAGGAGGTGGGCGGGGCGGGAGAGCTCGGCGTTCTTGCATTGTGTGGTCTTGCTCAATGTCCTTATGATGTTTCTTCGCAGAGCTTTGCTGGCCGGAGGATCGGCTGCTGCAACCGCAGCGCTTCTGGCCGCTGTGGCCGTCGGTAAAAGCGGAGGAAAATCCGAAACCGACAGTCTGACACCGCCGGTAACAACCGGGAAATGGGACCGCAATTGGGACCGGTGAGGCTGCGTTCTGCGCATGCGTGATGTTGCCTAGCTGGATGAGCATGTTGCAGTGTGAGCGGCTGGTGCGGTTCCTGGGCGTATTATCGCTGCTGTGATTGTTCCTTGTTAAGAAGCAGACAGATTAGCGGTCGCTTCAAAATTAGGGCCTCAAGCTTAGCCGCTGCTGTGTCTGGAGGTCTGCACAGTAGTAGGGTGTTTTATGTGCCACACAGAATGAATGGCCTGTAATGCACCTCAGCAGCTGAAAACTTTGATCCCAATGCCTTGTTTGCTGCAAATTGCAATGCATGTTGCAGCAAGTGGGAGTATAATAAACGCCATCAGTGTTGCCAATGGCTGCAATCCATTGGTGTCAGTGGATGCACTAAAACCTCCCCCAGTATAGGTGCCAGCAGACACACTAAAACATAGCATCAGCCCCCAGCGTTGGCGCCGGCGGACGCAGTGACAAGCCCCAGCGTTGGCGCTGGCGGACGCAGTGACAAGCCCCAGCGTTGGCGCCGGCGGACGCAGTGCCAAGCCCCAGCGTTGGCGCCGGCGGACGCAGTGACCAGCCCCAGCGTTGGCGCCGGCGGACGCAGTGACCAGCCCCAGCGATGGCGCCGGCTGACGCAGTAACAAGCCCCAGCGATGGCGCCGGCGGACGCAGTAACAAGCCCCAGCGTTGGTGCTGATAGGACACACTCAAACGCCCCAGCATAGGTGCCTGCAGATGCACTAAAACGCAGTAATAGCCCCCAGCGTTGGCGCCGTCGGACGCAGTAACAGCCCCCAGCGTTGGCGCCGTCGGACGCAGTAACAGCCCCCAGCGTTGGCGCCGTCGGACGCAGTAACAGCCCCCAGCGTTGGCGCCGTCGGACGCAGTAACAAGTCCCAGCGTTGGCGCCGGCGGACGCAGTAACAACCCCCAGTGTCGTCGCGGTCGGACGCATTAACAGCTACCACCGCTAGCGGACGTAGTATTAACTGGGACAATTTGGTATTAGATGCAGTGATAACTCCCTGCATTGGTGTCAGCCAGCGAAGTAATAACAATGTCTCAGGACACAGACTGGAGCAAAGGTTGTGTAGAGTGATTATGAACCAGTGACTTGTTTACAAGCTGGGTGGTTTATATAATCCTTAGGAAGGGGTTGCATTAACCTTTGTTGAAGTATGTATAGTGAACTATGGATGTTTATTTTGTCTTGTAGTCGGGAACCGGTGTCTATGGTGAACCTACAAAAGATCAATGGAGAAACGGGAGAGGAAGAGTTGAATGCAAAACTGACTAAGCACAAAGCTAAAGCCACTAGGCACATCTTTCTTATACGACATTCACAGTATAGACTTGATGGAAAAACAGATGAGGAAAGAGTTCTCACATCACTTGGTAGGTATCTTAACCACTTGCCTAGGAGGCACTGATGTGCACAGGTGGGCGGCACTGATGTGCACAGGTGGGCGGCACTGAACATGAACATCAGTGCCGATCACTTCTTTGACAATGCTGGTTATCAGCAGTACTTTCCTCATGCTGTGACAGCAGCATGAGGAAAGTGCAGCCGATAACCAGCAACTGTATTTACCCGGTGATCTGCTGTGTCATGGGATATGGTAAAAGGCCGCTGTGATTGGCTGTTTATCGTATCATGTGATCAGCTGTGTCCATAGGACACAGCAATCACTGGGGGCGCGCAGGGGGCGTGTTCTGGAATGACATCCATGGACGTCGTCCCAGAACTAGACAACCACGCTGTAGCCATCTTTTGTATTGATGTCCAAATCATATTAAGTCTGGATACATTCAGCCCCCTTCCAGTCCAGGCCAATTTTCAGCTTTCAGAACTGTTACACTGCGAGTGACATTTACTCAGTCATGTAACACGGTACCCATATGAAATTGTTATCATTTTTTTTGAGACAGAGCTTTCTTTTGGTGGTATTTGATCACCATTGGGTTTTTTTATTTTTCGCTATATAAATGAAAAAATACAGAAATTTTGAAAAAAAAAAATCTTTTTTTGCTTAGTTTTTGTTATAAAATTTAGCAAATAAATTTTCTTCATAGAGTTAGGACAAAATGTACTCTGCTATATTTTTTTTGGGTAAAAATAACCCAAAACAGTGTGTATTATCTAGTCTGTGTGAATGCTATCGAGTCTACAAACTATGCAATATATATTTGAAAATTGATCAGTTGAGACCCTAAAATGCCGGACGCTGCTATGACGTATGGCAGTGACCAGAATGCTGTATGTGGTATGGTGGTGATCAGGACGTTGGCATGAGGGTAATCAAGGCCCTGGTGTGGGGGGGTGATCAGGACGCTGGTGCGGGACATGGCAGGCTGGTGTGGGGCATGGCGTTGATCAGGGCGCTGGTGTAGGGTATGGCGGTGATCAGGACGTTGGTTTGGGGTATGGTGTATGGGGGTGTTTTTGTGCTCACTTGGACAGGTGACGGGGCTGGCTGCATTATTTATTATAGATATTCTGGGGCTGTGATCAGGGGCACTAAACTGGGGTGGCTGGCACTGCAGTTTGTGAGCGGACAAGCAGCCAGATAGGATGCTGTACACTCACAGGTTGCAGGACCGCGTCTCTCTGCTCTCACACTGAGAGCAGAGTAGCGACCTTTACTTTCACTTGCCAGTGTTTACAATGTGAGGATTGTGATTGGTCACAGCAGTCACATGGTAAAACACCATGTGATCACACAAACAGCGGTAATGTGATCTGTGTCCAGGCGATATAGTGATTGCCGGGCTCCCGGGTGCACACTCTGTGAGCTGCACAAGAGCAGGCTGACGTAGAGGTACGTTAGTCCATATCAGCAAAGCGTCCTGTCCACCGTCTATGTGCAGTGGGCGGCCAAGAAGCGGTTAAAGTACAACTAAAGGCAACTTAAAACTTTTTTCAAGTTCAACTTTTTTTGCTAGAGTGCAGAGGGATTAGAACACCTGTCAGGTTTTTATTGCTGTCTTTGATCCCGTTACGGAGATTCACCCTCTCCATCTGTCCTGTTTGCCATTATCATTAAAGGAAAATCCCACATTTTGGGTTGTCCTCAGAAAAGCAATAGAGGGGAAACCTTCCAATGGGGCACTAGTTCTGGTGACCTGGGGGTGCATAAGGAATTCCCTTAATATGCAGGGATTACTGTCACTTCCTGTTTTGGATATGGGACAGAAAGTGAAGGAAAATCTCAGCAATGGAACGAAAAAAAAAGTTTTGCCCATCTACTTTAACCACTTGCCTCCCAAGCATAGTCTGACACTTCTCTTCTACATGTATAAATCAGCTTTTTTTTTTTTTTTTTTTTGCTAGAAAATTACTTAGAACCCCCAAATTTTATATATTTTTAATCAGAGGCCCTAAAGAATAAAATGAGGGGTGCCACTATTTATTTTTATGTCACACGGTATTTGCACAGTGTGGTTTTTTTTTTTTTTTTTTTTTTTTTTAAATACACAATATAACACCCAACTGTTTGGAAAAATGTAAAAGATTTTAGGCGCGGTAAATACCGGTGGATACCTACGCTCCTACGCTTTACATTTTTTATTTGTTTTATCTAATATTTTGCTTTTTTTTACACTGTACACTTTGTTTAAAAAAAAAAAAAAAAAAAACACGTTATTGACATCACAAGGGATGAACAACATTCATCAGTCCTGGGCTCTCCCAGGGAAGACAGGAGAGTCTGGGGAGGGGGAAAGAGGGCTGTGTCCTGCCGCCTGTAAAAATGATCCAGCAGCTAATTATTTGCTAGGATTGCTTTTATAAAAAAGGGCATAGTCAGCCAAAAAAAAAAAAAAAGGTACTGAGCCTGTAGCTGCACAGATCATCCCCAGTACAACCACTGCATTTCAAGGACATGCAGGGACGTCCTTAGGCGGCAAGAGGTTAATGAATTTTAGTGCACCCAAACACAGTATAATACCCAATGTTTTGGTAAAATATAAAAGATGTTACGCCAAGTAAATAGAGATCTAACATGTCTTCCTTTGAAATTGCGTACACCTGTTGAATGGTGACAAACTACGGTTCTTAAAAAATCTCCATAGGCAACATTTTGAAAGCCTTTACAGGTTACTAGTTTAGAGTTGCACGGAATGTTTCGCGTTAGAATTATTTCTCTCTGACAGCCATGACGTTACTGCACATTGGTTGTGTGATCACAGTATAAATATGTGCTCTGGACCTATTTACACAAGAGCACTGGGGGATGGGGCGCTTAATCAATCATTTTATTTAAATTTTTTTTTTCACTGTACCTTTTTTTTTTTTTTTTGTTTCTTTTATGGAACTTCATCGCATCGCAGGGATTGAACAACATCCAATGTGCCTTGACAAGTCCTCTTTTTGGAGAGATCTGGGGGACCTCTTTATGGAGATCCTCTGCCCTCTAGAGCGTGTGTGTGTGTGATTTCATGCTGGATATCTATACTGATATGGACTGGGTAATGTGTTAGGAATGTAAGGATGCCCCATCCTTACGGAGGACTGAATTCAAAGACACCCCAAAAATCAAAGTGAAAAAATTATGCAGCAGGCTAGTCCATTTTGCTCAAATTTCATTGCAGCCACTCAAAATGGTACTCAATAGTTTGTATGGTCCCCACGTGCTTGTATGTATGCCTCACAACGTCGGGGCATGGTCCTAATGAGATGACAGATGGTATCCTGGGGTATTTCCTCCCAGATCTGACCAGGGCATCACTGAGCTCCTGGACAGTCTGAGGTGCAACCTAGCAGTGTCGGGTGGACCGAAGCATGATATTCCAGAGGTGTTCTACTGGATTTAGGTCAGGCGAGCGTGAGGGCCATTCAATGGTATCAATTCCTTCATCCTCCAGGAACTGCCTGCATACTCTCGCCACATGAGGCTGGGCATTGTCGTGCACAAGGAGGAACCCAGGACCCACTGCACCAGCATAGGGTCTAATAATGGGTCCAAGGATTTCATCCCGATACCTAATGGCAGTCCGGGTGCCATTGTCTATATGCCTCCACAGACCAACGCTGACCCACCACCAAATCATGCTGAACGATGTCACAGGCAGCATAACGTTCTCCACACCTCTCCAAACCCTTTCACGTCTGTCACATGTGCCGAGGGTGAACCTGCTCTCATCTGTGATAAGCACAGGGCGCCAGTGGCAGACCTGCCAATTCTGGTGTTCAGTGGCAAATGCCAATTGAGCTCTATGGTGCAGGGCAGTGAGCACAGGGTCCACTAGAGGACTTTGGGCCCTCAGGCCACTCTCATGAAGTCTGTTTCTGATTGTTTGGTCAGACATTCACACCAGCGGTCTGCTGGAGGTAATTTTGTAGGGCCCTGGCAGCGTTCATCCTGTTCCTCCTTGCACAAAGAAGCAGATCCTGTCCTGCTGATGGGTTAAGGACCTTCTATGGCCCTGTCCAGCTCTCCTAGAGTAACTGCATCTCCTGGAATCTTCATGTTCTTGAGACACAGCAAACCTTCTGTCAATGGCACATATTGATGAGCCATTCTGGAGGAGTTGGCCTGCCTGTGCAACCTTTGTAGGGTCCAGGTATCGCTTCATGCTACGTACCATTAGTGACACTGATCCTAGCCAAATGCAAAACTAGTGAAAACAGTCAGAAAAGATGAGTAGGGAAAAAATTATCAGTGGCCTCCACCTGTAAAACTATTCCTGTTTTGGGGTTCATCTCGTTGCCAATCTAGTGCACCTGATGTTAATTTCATTAACACCAAAGCATCTGTAATTGATTATCAACCCCCTCTGCTACCTAACTGACCAGATCAATATCCCAGGAATTTAACTGACTTGATGCTATATTTCTGATTAAAAAGTCTTTCTTTAATTTTTTTGAGGTGTGTGTTTATATATACATACACACTATATTGCCAAAAGTATTGGGACACCCCTCCAGATTATTGGATTTAGTTGTTCCAATCACCTCTATGGCTACAGGTGTAAAATAATCAAGCACCTAGGCATGCAGACTGCTTCTACAAACATTTTGTGAAAGAATAGGTCACTCTCAGGAGCTCAGTGAATTTAAGAGTGGTACCGTGATAGGTTGCCACCTGTGCAATAAGTCCATCCGTGAAATTTCCTTGCTACTAAATATACCATGGTCAACTGTTGATGGTATTATAACAGAATGGAAGCAACTGGGAACGGCAGCTACAAAGTGGTAGGCCATGTAAAATGACAGAGTGGGGTCAGCGCAGAAGTCACCAACTGTCTTCAGAGTCAATAGCTAAAGACCTCCAAACTTTGTGTTGCCTTCAGAATAGCATGACAGTGCGTAGAGAGCTTCTTGGAAAGGGTTTTCATGGCTGAGCAGCTGCATCCAAGCCTTACATCACCAAGTGCAATGCAAAGCATCGGATACCGTGGCGTAAAGCACGCCACCACTTGACTCTAGAGAAGTAGAGACATGTGCTTCGGAGTGACAAATCATGCTTCTCTGTCTAGTAATCTGATGGACGTGTCTGGGTTTGGTGGTTGCCAGGAGAATGGTACTTGCCTGACTGCATTGTGCCAAGTGTTAAGTTTGGTGGAGGGGGAATTATGGTGTGGGTTTTTTTTTTCAGGGGTTGGGCTTGGAACCCTTAAGGAGTCAGCATACCAAGACATTTTGGACAATTTCATGGTCCCAGTTTTGTGGGAACAGTTTGGGGATGGCCCCTTCCTGCTCCACCATGACTGCACTCCAGTGCATAAACAAGGTCCAAGAAGACATGGATGAGCAGGCTTGGGGTGGAGGAACTTGACTTGTCTGCACAAAGTCCTGATCTCAACCTGATAGAACACCTTTGGGATGAATTAGAGCGCTTATGGAAGAATGGTCAAGCATTCCCATATACACACTCCTAAACCTTGTGGACAGCCTTCCCAGAAGAGTTGAAGCTGTTCTAGCTGCAAAGGGAGGACAAAGTCATTATTGAACCCTAAGGACTAAGACTGGGATGCCATTAAAGTTCATGTGCATGTAAAGGCAGGCATCCCAATACGTTTGGACACACACACACCATCCAGAAAGTATTCACAGAGCTCAACTTTTGCCACATTTTGTTATGTTGCAGCCTTATTCCAAAATTGAATAAATTCATTTTTGTCCTCAACATTCTACAAACAATACCCCATACTGACAGTGTGAAACAAGTTTATTTTGAAATCTTTGTAATTTATTAAACATAAAAAAATAAAAAAACACATGTACATAATTATTCACAGCCTTTGCTCAATACTTTGTTGAAGCACCTTTAGCACCAATTACAGCCTCAGTCATTTTGAGTATGATGCTACAAGCTTGGCACATCTATTTTTGCGCAATTTCTCCCAGTCTTCTTTGCAGTACCTCTCAAACTCCATCATGTTGGATGGGGAGTGTCGGTGAACAGCCATTTTCAGATCTCTCCAGAGATGTTCAATTGGGTTCAAGTCTAAGCTCTGGCTGATCCACTCCAGGACATTTACAGAGTTAGCCCTTAGCCACTCCTGTGTTATGTGGGCTGTGTGCTTAGGGTCGTTGTCCTGTTGAAAGTTGAACCGTTGCCCCAGTCTAAGGTCCAGAGTGCTCCGGAACAGGTTTTCATCAAGGATGTACATTGCTGCATTCATCTTTCCTTCAATCCTGACTAGTCTCCCAGTTCCTGCCGCTGAAAAACCTCCCCAGAGCATGATTCTGCCACCACCATGCTTCACTGTAGGGATGGTATTGGCCAGGTGGTAAGTGGTGCCTGGTTTCCTCCAGACATGACACTTGGCATTCAGGCCAAAGAGTTCAATCTTTGTTTCATCGGGCCAGAGAGTTTTGTTTCCCATCATCTGAGAGTCCCTCAGGTGCCTTTTACTGAGAAGTGGCTTCCGTTTGGCCACTCTACCATACAGGCCTGATTGGTGGAGTGCTGCAGAGATGGTTGTTCTTCTGGAAGGTTCGCCTCTCTCCACAGAGGAAGGCTGAAGCTCTTTCAGAGTGACCATCGGGTGCTTGGTTACCTCCCTGGCTAAGGCCCTTCTCCCTCGATTGCTCATTTTGGCTGGGCGGCCCACTGTAGGAAGATTCCTGGTGGTTCCAAACTTCTTCCATTTACGGATGATGAAGGCCACTGTGCTCATTGGGACCTTCAATGCTGCAGAAATTTTTCTGTACCCTTCCCCAGATCTGTGCCTTGATACAATCCTGTCTTGGAGGTCTATGGACAATTTCTTGGACTTCATGGCTTGGTTTTTGCTCTGACATGCACTGTTAACTGTGGGACCTTTATATAGACAGGTTTATACCTTTCCTAATCATGTCCAATCAACTGAATTTCCAACAGGTGAACTCCAATCAAGTTGTGGGAACATCTCAAGGATGATCAGTGAGAACAGGATGCACCAGAGCTCAATTTTGAGTTGCATGGTAAAGGCTCTGAATACTTATGTACATGTGTTGTTGTTTTTTTTTTTTTTTTTTTTAATAAATTGCAAAGATTTCAAAACAAACTTCTTTCACGTTGTCATTATGGTGTATTGTTTGTAGAAATTTGAGGAAAAAAATGAATGGAATATATTTTGGAATAAGGCTGTAACATAACAAAATGTGGGAAAAGTTGAGCGCTGTGAATACTTTCTGGATGAACTGTGTGTATGCATGTGTGTGTATATATAATATAATAATATAATGTATGTCAGACAGGAAGTGGTTAAGTTTCTTATGGCTGCCCAATTCACCATTGGAGATTTTGTGTCCAAGTTCTTGGGTCAGTCAACCTTTTTCATTCTGCAATATTAAAGCAGTTGTGAAGTCTATTTTTTATTTTAGTAAAATAAAGAAGTTACACTTACCTTTTCTGTGCAAGGGTATTACACAGCATGGCCCCAAACATCCTCTTATGGGGTCCCTCGCTGGCACTTTTAGCTCCACCTCTTCTTTGTTCTTAGCAATAAATTGAATTAACTTCATTTGTTTTGCTTTGAAGGTCGTGAGCAAGCAGAGCTAACTGGACGACGTCTGGCAAGTCTAGGATTGAAATACACTCGTATTGTACATTCATCTATGACCAGAGCCAAAGAGACAACTGAAATAATAAGCAAATTTTTACCAGGTAAGGCTGCGCATTCTCACCCACTCCAATGGGAACAGTCAGGTCTTTATTAGGGCCTGTGTTGATGGGATTTGGCCTTGTGTCTGTCATCAGATTAAGACACCGCCTGAGATCATTCAGAATTACTGGCAGTTGACCTCCTGACCTGCCTCAAATGGATTTTGCATTCCCATAGGCTTGTAAGGGACTTCAGAACCTGCTTGATGCTTGTTAGCATAGACCATTAAACCGATCACTCACATTACAATCTGACTGTAAAATCTATTCTAGATTTTTCCGTATAGGTAGTTGTCATTCTTCCAGTTTTTCCTCAAATCTTTGAAAGGTGTTTGTCCCTTGTGTTGCTGTTTCTCTGACAGAAATTGTAAATTAACCAGTTAACCACTGATATTGAGCTTTCTCTCTTGTACCTTTTCCACTTACTTCAGGTGTGAAAAAATCTAGCTCAGATTTGCTTCGTGAAGGAGCTCCTATTAGACCAGATCCTCCTGTTTGCCACTGGAAGCCAGACGTAGAGGTCAGAAGAATTTACTATCTGTGTAACAAAACAACCTATTTTTTTGTATATAAATAGCTGTTTACAGTCTGTATAGCTTCTGATCAGAAAACTATTTCCAGCAGTATTATGAAGATGGGGCACGTATTGAGGCTGCATTCAGGAATTTTATTCATCGTGCTGACCCTAAGCAAGAAGAGGACAGTTATGAGGTTATTGTCTGCCATGCCAATGTGATCCGCTACATGGTTTGTAGGTAAGATCTCTAGTTTGTCCCATTAGTGCCCAGTAGACAGTCATATTTTCAGTCTTAGAATAAGATGATAATATGACCTTCTTGTTGTAACAAAAGGAAAAGCAGTAGAAGCTACTTCTACACCTATGATTTTTTTTGGGGGGGAGGAGGGTGGCTTTGAGTAGTCAAGTGGATTCCAGGCAAACCTAAGCACACTGTTAGGCCACTTTGGAAGTTCATTAAAATTGGTACTCCTCATTAAAAATCCTTTCCAGCCAAGGAAGTTGCCATCTAAGCTGTTTAATTTGCAACTGCCAAGATTGCGGCACATCTGTTCGGTTATGACTTCATTTGATGATTTGACAGTTTAGTTGAAAGTACAAACGAGCAAGCTGAGAATATAACTTTTTTTTTATACCATTAAATTGATGGGTTTAGTTCCGCTTTATATTTTTATAAAAGTGTAGTCCTGCCTCTGAAGTGTATGGTGGCACATGTGCAGGTGTGCTCCCAAGCCATGCTGTGTGCTTCTATAGACACACACAAAGTGGTGCATGTAACTGCATTTTGAGTCGTTTTGGGTCAAATATTACTATAGCACCATGTACAAGAAACACCATGTTGTAATTAACAAAATAGCAAAATGAGGCTAGAATAAATTGAGAATGTTTACACAATAAATCGTGTGAATATTTACTTCAATTATGAAATCATTTACAGACAAATTAAACAGCGATTAGCTTTTTACATGATTGGCTAATTGAAGTGAATATTCACACCATTTATTGTATGAACAGTCTTCTTTTTAATGCATTCTTTATATACATGTTTTTTAAAAAAATACAGAACAAAAATCATCATGACCACCCTGGTATAACTTACAAATAGGCAGTATAGTACATCAAAGTTGAAAGTCATATACAGAAACATCGTTTAAAAGATATAACCCACCTTATAACACATCAGGCAAAACCACCACGTTTAAGGACCGCTCATAATGTAACTTGACAACCGACATGTTTTGTTGGTAAATCTACCTCAGGGTGGGGAAACAACTAGAGGAATGGAAAATGGGTACAGTATAGAAAAAGAAGAGTGAAAGAGAGGAAAAGGAGGGGCTCAGAAATGCCTCTGCTTTTCTCCTACTCCCGTCATTTAGCCAGAGCTGGACCCTGATATGCTAGTCTCAGAGGACACAGAATCAGAAGAGAATGAAGTGATCTTGAGATGTTGGAGGAAGCTGTAGAATTATCTCCCCCTCATTGCCATTAGAGTGTATCCTTTCTATTCATTCCTTAGGGACATTCCATGGTGTATGAATAAGTTACCTGTATCCTGTACTGGACAATTAAGAGGAATTTTGACTTGTCTGTAAATTCCATATCTTGGGGCACAGGCCACCCTACCTAAACTTTCCTTGTTAATCTGCATTGCTTGCTACAAAACTGATGATTCACGAGGTGGGGTAGCGTTATAGACAAGGAGCTCCAGGGGGGAATGTCCTCAATAGCCTACCATTGTCCAATCACCTGGAGATGCAAGCTTATAACCCATGGTGTATGCATAAGTTGCCTGTGTCCTGTACTGTACTCCAAGATATGTAAGGCAAAATTCCTAGTTGGGCTGATTACTAAACATAGTTTAATTAATTTGTACTCTTATATAAAGTGCAGCCTGGACTTCAGGTGAGTAAGGTGACAAATGAGATAATGTAGGTAACTACATCTAAGAACTAATAAGCTGCAATATATATATATTTTTTTTGTTTTTAAAGTGTTACTAAACCCAGGACCCTGCATTCACTATATCTGGACTCCTTCAGTACACAGAACATGGAAATGAAATTATTTTAGTAGATATAAACTGTTAAATACCTTTTCTTATCAGCAATTAGAACAGTCTTGTGCCTTCTTTTAGTGTCCAGCAGAGCACTGGTTAAAGCTTGTAGAAGGTTTCATTCTCCCCTATGAGACTGCAGGAACCCTGACAGAGTCTGGACAGTGCTGATTGGCCCTGCATTGATCACATGCACTCTCCCAAGAAAAAAAAAAACTCTAGCAATAAACACCAAATTGAGCATGTGCATCATGCTCCTAGTCTATATTCTATCAGAGGATACATTGGTGACAGTAGAAGAAGGGGAGGATCAGAGAAGACAGGATCCAACATTTTACACAATATGGAGGATTAACCTCTTAGGTTCCACAGTGAGTATAACAAGCATGCTTCACTGCATATACAGACTGATTTTACTGTTGTGGGTTTAGTAACACTTTAAGTTAAATATGCTTTAATAAAGGTATGCTGTAGCCAGACTAAGAAATGTGTTGTTGAAGAACATATAGGATTAGACTACCTGCTATTATGAAGCTATCTTTTTTTTTTTTTTTTTTTTTTTACCCTAGCCATGTTTGAATACACCATTCCATGGCACTTTATAAAACACTCTGCGTTCAAGTGACCTGTCTTTTTGGGAACAGATTAACCTGAATCTGTGATTCTGCAAACCAAAGTTTTTCATCTGCCCAGCCAGATCCCTGTTAACATTTGTACACCTGAAAAGAATAGGAAATATGTACTACTTTGAAGTTTCACAGAAAGAATATGAATTCATTGTACCACTGTATGCTAGATCTGTAAGCACAGGATCATGGGAAATGTATAGACTTGACCTCACTGAACATTTTTAGTCTGATCAACTAAAGGATCTTTATATTAATGTCTATACTCAAGATTCAGCCATTTTTCTTATTAAATCCTTTGTAGAAAAAAATAAACAAAATTGTAAATTTTGAGTAAAAACTTTTAGACTCCCTGGTGTAGAGTAGAAAACTGTAGCAGCCTATATCCTCATAAGTAAGATGGGTATGTTCCTGTTTTTGACATGATTGTCTTCTTGCACAGGGCATTGCAGATCCCTCCTGAAGCCTGGCTCCGTATGTCGCTTAACAATGGAAGCATCAGCTACTTGGTTGTCCGCCCCACTGGTAATGTCTGTCTGAGGATGTTTGGTGACTCTGGCTGGCTTTATGCCTCCTGAGAAAATTAGCCGGACATGAGTGTCCACAGCTTGTTGCACCATGCAGCTCAGTCACTGCCTGCCCTGAAGATACCTGGTTATTCTGATGCTGCATTTAATGTGACCAGCACTCACCCTTTCTGTGCCTTCTTCTGTGATTCACACATTTTAGCAAGAGTGGATATTGTTAAAAACAAGTACTGTACGGTTTTTGTTTGGAGTGTAATCTGCATTCTACATCTGAAGGATATCAAGCACAGCTGCATAAAACAGACAGGATGATGACCACTTTGGGCTTTCAGCTGTTTAAGAGACATACAGCACAGGTGGCCATCTGCTGTATATGTAATACAGAAGGGAAAGTAGCATTTGTACCTGTTGTGTTGTTCACAATGATTTTATTCCTAATTACTGGTGTTTTTCACATACATAGGAAATGTATATTGTTTAAAATTTAACGATCATGGATGCTTTCAGCAAGATGGGATTTTCAGGTTCCAGAAAAAAAATTCAGGGATATTTACTATTAATATCTAATGACAAACTTCTTTTTTTAAAAAAAGCTTTGGGTAGAGTATGGTCAGTTAAAACCTTTTTTTTTTTTTATGTATCTGAATAGGGAGATATCACTTTACTTGCTGTTTATGAAATGCAGCAGAGGAAATCTCTCCAAAGGGCATGGAGAACCTGTTGTCTGTGGAACTGTTATCACTATTGTAAGATTTGCTCTCTACTCCTGTTATGGTGACCGCTGCAATATTTTGTACTTTCCATCATGTTTGTTGTATGTTTCCCTTACATGTAGAGAGGATCAGTCTCAGCGAACACAGACAACAATAAAAACCTGACATAGGTTCTAACCTTTTCATGCTAAGAAGCTAAAAAGAAAAAAATAGTTTGTGCTTGAGTTGAGCTTTACATAGCAAATATTTTGATGAATAAAGTAGTGCTAAGGATGATAGTGATGACTATAGTACAGTAAACTATACCAGCATATCACTTTTCAAATTACAAGAGACAGTCTGCTTATTTATTGTTTGAGGTTACAACTCTTTGCACATCACCTGTGCGCTTGCCAAACATTTTCAAACAAGTCTAGAAGTTCCTATATATAGTTCCATAGTTAGTCTGGCTGAAAAAAAGACAAAAAGTCCATCCAGTTCAACCATAGAAGAAAAAAAACAAAATCATGTATGCTTGACCATGTTCTCTCAGATCATATCAGTACATCTTCCCAAATTCTCCTCAATGTAAAACCTAAGGAAATGACACAAACATTCAGCAGCCCTGTGTTTTTGTTTTTTAAATAAATTTATGGAAGAATACATGGACCTTTTTTTGTACTGTAATAATTTTACCAAGTGCTCCTGAGCGCCTGACATGTTATTAAATGACTAGTTTATGCATTTTTTTTAATTAAAATTTTGTAGTTTTGCGGTGTTTAAAATCGTGTCAGTTATATTTGTGTGTACATTGCATGAAAGGTTCATTTAAATGAAAGCTCAGGATCTTTAATAGTTATATATGAAAAATGTAGAATGAATTGACACCATGATGTTGTAGAGCTGTTTCTGCCCAAGAGATTGTACATGTTTTACTTGACGCAGCTCTAATGGGAAAACAGGCTTTTATTTTAAAGGTCTTAAGGAATTTCCTATGGATTAGGCTTAACACCACACACACCTGGTTTCTTTGTAGCCTTCATAGACGCATACATATTGCTGGACACCTCCCTATCGAACCTACACAACCAATAGGAAGTATAACATTCTGGGAATATCCTTGCTTCACCATTTTTTCCCCCCTCTCAAGTCTCTCCACAGGACCATTTTAAACCTCTTACCTTAAAGTGGAACTGCAGTGAATCTAAGTGCCGCAAACCAAAAATGCTATTTAATTCATTGTTAACCACTTCCCGTCTGGCCGTTGTACATAAACGGTTTGACAGTGGCAGTGCAGGGTCAGGTGGCCGTTTATAAACGGCCTCCCCGCACCCGGCTTGTGCGTGCTCCCTGGGAGCACGCAGCACTGCGATCCGGTGCCCGCTGTGTCCTCCGGACACAGTGGAACACGGATCGTCGGACGGGACCTCTGTGACCTCCCGATCATGTGATCACTGATTGGCCAATCGGTGATCACAAGCAGAGTAGTAAGCAAGATGTCCCTTCTGACATCATTGCTTACTACGTGTGAAATCTGTGAATGATCACAGAGGTCACATAGTACAAAGCTATTCACAACAGCCTTGTGCCATATGACAAGCTGTGACCAATCACAGCTCACACAGTAGTTCTCAATGGCTGAAATAATGCAGCCAGAGAGAAGGAGAAATGATTGCTTTTATTATAGCCTTTATGGGTGTAAAAGCAATCAGTGTAAAAAAGAAAAAAAAAAAATATTCATCACCCCCCACAAGTAGTACAGTGTCACCATGGTGACACTGTACTGCTAGGGTGACAGTATGTACAAAAAAAAACCATTAATAAAAAAAAATTTTAAAAAAAAAGTTGAAAAATTATTTTTGGGTTATAACCTAATTTGTTGTTTTTTTTTTTTTTACTAAAAAGATAACGGAATAAATTTTGGCCAAGATTTATGATGAAATATTATTTATTTGCAAAATTTTATAAGAAAGGCACTTTTTTAAAAAAATTTTTGGACTTTTTCATTTACATAGCAAAAAAAATAAAAATCCCATTGGTGAATAAATACCACCAAAATTAAAGCTTTATCTGTCTCAAAAAAAAAGCTAAAAAAAATCATATGGGTACAGTGTTGCATGAACGCGCAATTGTCATTCAAAGTGTGATAGCACTGAAAGCTGAAAATTGACCTGGATAGGAAGGGGGTAAAAGTGTCTGGACATGAAGTGGTTAATAATATTCAAAGCAAACTCCCCCATCAATTCATGTCTCAATGCTTTATTTTACTGAGAAATCATTTTGAAAAACACCCCCTGGCATTTCTGGCAATGGCCATCTTTAGTAAGGGCAGATGATTCATGTAGCATTTACTTCCTGAAATCCATCTGCCCTTAGCTCAGGCATTGGCTGAGCTGAGAACCCTCCCTCCCCTCCTCGGATGTATGACATCATTTGCCTTGGCATGGAAACCAGGACGTATCTGAAGAAATGTAAAAAAACAGTAAATATGATATACTTTCCTATCCATTTACTAATGCTAGCAGCATAAGGATTAAAAATAGTCAATGTTGATTGAGAGAATGAAGTTCCACTTTAACCACTTGTTTACCGGGCACTTTTATCCCCTTCCTGCCCAAGCCAATTTTCAGCTTTCAGCGCTGTCGCACATTGAATGACAATTGTGCGGTCGTCCAACACTGTACCCAAATGAAATTTGTAGCATTTTTTTTGACAGAGCTTTCTTTTGGTGGTATTTATTCACCACTGTGATATAAATGAAAAAAGACCAAAAAATTTGAAAAACACGTGTTTTATAAAATTTTGCAAATAAATAAGCTTCATAAATTTTGCCCAAAATGTATTCCGCTACCTTTTTTGCTAAAAAACCAAAACAAAAAAAAACCAAATCAGTTTATCGAAAACTAATTTTCCAGTTTTTTTTAATTTATATATTTTTTAAAACATTTTTGCATACAGTCACCCTAGCAGTACAGTTACCATAGTGCCACTGTACTACTTGTAGGGGGTGATCAAGATTTTTTTCTTTTTACACTGATTGCTTTTACACCCATAAAGGTTGTAAAAGCAATTATTGCTCCTTCTCTCTGGCTGCATTCCTGCAGCCATTGAGAAATACTGTGAGAGCTGTAATTGGGCACAGCTTATCACATGGTACAAGGCTTTTGTGAATGGCCTTGTACCACATGACCTCTGATCATTCACAGAATTCACAAGTAGTAAACAATGAGGTCAGGAAGTAACATCATTTACTACTGTTCAAGTGATAACCAATTGGCCAATCAGTGATCACATGAATTGGGACCTCACATAGCGGGCCCCATACAGCAATCTGTGTTCGGCACAGATCGCAGCTCTGCACGCTCCCACATCCATTGCACAGGCAATGGATATGGGGGGATGTTTCTATACGATGCTCCCGTCTGGCCATTTATGGACATGGGCTGGACGGGAAGAGGTTACAAATTTGACAGCTAGCGAGGGGTGAGAAGTTCCTCTGCTAGCTGTCAAAGGGGTGAGTGGGGGCAGCCTGATCATAACATGTTACGAAAGGTGAACTTATCCTTCAACTGCTTTTCCGCCGCCCTATAGCAGAAATACTGCTACAGGGCGGCAGGGGTGTGCAAAATCACGTGTGTGTGTGTATATATACACACGTGGTTTTGCATTTCTGGGTAGGGGGGTCGCGCCTTGCCTGTCAATCACCGGTCCCGACCGGTGATTACTTGCTGGCACCCGGTGATCGCCATGTATTACTTACGGGGGAGAGAACTGTAAGTAAACAATACAGTTCTCTCCCGTCAGCTTCAGCACACTTTGGTTCTGTATAGCACAGCCATACAAAGCAGTGTGCTTACAGTGTAAAGCACAGACACAGCCTCATAGTAAAACACACACAGCACAGTTAACCCTTTGATCGCCCCTGATGTTAACCCCTTCCTGCCCAGTGGCATTAGTAGTGCCAGTGCTTTTCATTAGCATTGATCACTGTATTGGTGTCACTGGGGATGTCAGCGACACCAAGTCAGTTACCTACAGTGTCAGATTGCCCACAGCAGTCCCGCTATAAGTCGCTGATCGCCGCCATTACTAGTTAAAAGAGAAAAAAAAAAATCCCAGTATCTATACCGCCATTTGTAAACGCTATAACTTTCATGTAAACCAATTAATTTACACGTATTGGGATTTTCTTTTAGCAGATGTAGCAAAATACATTTTGCCCTAAATTTGACAATTTGATTTTTAAATTTTTTTTATTGGACATGTTTAATAGCAAAATGTCAGTTTTTTCTTGTCTTTTTTTTTTTTTAAACTACGAAAAATAAAAAATGCACAGGTGCTCAAATACCACCGAAAGAAAGTTCTATTGGGGGGGAAA